TCATTCATACAGTTTCTGATAAATATGGAATTATCATATTTTATTACTAAAACAGTGCATGTCCTCTTATTTAGCCTCAAAAAAATATATTTTATAAATAATACTAGTATAAATGAAGAATTGAAATTAAAAAATCAATTTTAGACTCGATGTCTTAAGCAGACCCATCTAGCGGCAAGTTATGGTACTTGTTAATGGTTTCATAGTTGTTGAACGATTCGTTGCGTATTCAGAAACGCAGTGACAGTTAACCGACGTTTATCCCAAAGAGAATATAATCACTACGTTTAAGAGGCGGGACTTCCATAGTAAAAATAATTGCATGAAATTACGCCAAGTTACTCTAACAACATCAAAATATGACATTTAGTTTTGAGAAACACTGCTGACAACATTGACGAATTACAATAGTGCTGTAAATGTCTATCCTCGAATACTTTTATCGATATAACCTTTATCGATATATTGTTTATCGATATTTTTACATAAGAAAAGTTAGATCTCTATACTGAATTTTTTATGAGAAATAAAATTTTTAACGTGTGGATTGAGTAAAAATGCCGTTGAGGATAAGAAATCAATGTATTTTACACACAGCAATTTGTATTTATATCTCTACAATTAGGTACAAAAGTATGTATAAAGAAAATATAAAATAAAAAACGCACTTTTATACTAGTAATTAATTAAGTAAAAAATAAATGACGACTCCGTAGCGCAGGGGCTAAGCGTTTGGCTGCGGCATTGCAGGACCGAGGCTTCCTTCCCGCACTGAACAATTGTTGCTATGCTGTAAAATAATTAGTCTGCGTCTGGATGCTTGTTTTCAACGTTAGTTTTTTTAAGGGTAAAAATATTGGGTTTTTAATACTCATTGGATTAAATTGCTTTTATGTGTAACAAATACTATGTACAAATCGCTAGGCTTCTTCACAGAGGCACCTATGTACATACTATTCGCAGAGATCGTTTACTAATTGTCGCTTTCAAAATAAGTGCTCATTATAGCTAATGTTTATTGATGAATAAAATAATAATTTAGTTATATAATCTAATTCTTGTCAAAATGTGACTTTAGAGGGATATTATCTTTTGCTACATGTAAATGAAACCTAATTAACATACACATAAATTGTGGAAGTTTAAAGTAAGTCCACTAAAGAAATAACAGTTCGTTTTAGTTGGATTCATATGCAATGTTTGTCATAAATATGTCTTAACATGTGAATCTTTTCAATTGGTGCATGTGCCAGCTATTTCACCCATTGCTTGCATCTGAAAAAATAATATTGTTACGCGCCACTATTAAGGTCTTGTACATGGCAACACTAGTTACTCTAGCGCCCTCTATTGTCGAGTAGCAGAACTAGGAGAGTCGAGATCCTTCCAGAAATTTCGGGACCGATATGTACCCGAACATTCTAGATGTCGCTACAGTATAAGGTTCTGGAAACTATCTGAGGCCCTATATAAGGCCGGTATAGACCACGACCGAGAGTATTGAATTGGCGATACAAGAGAATACTTCGAAGCGAAATAACGGCGAACTGTGTTTTATTATTAGTGTGATTTTAAGTTATAATTAGTGTTGTGTAATTAAATAGTCAATTTTGGTAATTCACTCGGCAGTTTTTAATTATCTTGAACCCCAAGCTCGTAACAATTGGTGTCAGAAGTGGGATCAAATATGCCGATTTTACCTAAAGACGACACCGAGGGTATCCGTACCCGAAGTCAACGCCAACAGGAGACGGACCAGAGACGATTTGGTGGTGCAACGTCACAGACGTCGGCGGGCCAGTTGCCGACCACGGAGGCCGGCCCGTCAGCAGCTCCTGCATCTGCAGCACCTGAATTAGGTGTTCTGATGATGATGCTGCAGGAACAGGCTCGCCGACAGGAGGAACAGGCCCGCCGACAGGAGGAACAGGCCCGCCGACAGGAGGAACAGGCTTGTCGGTTGGAAGAGCAGCTGCATCGCCTACAGGAGGAACAGGCCCGCCAACAGGAGGAACAGGGCCGTCGATTGGAAGAGCAGCTCAAACTCTATAAGGAAGAGCAGATGCTCCTCATGAAGGACCTTTACACTACCTTCGGGAAAGAGATAAAGGAGTTGAAGGATAAGGTTGCTCTATATGACAACCGCCTGTCTGAGGCTGAAACCCGAATCGACCAAGTGTACAATCGGGTTGACAACGTGATGGCTGACGTGAAGAAAACGCTGGACGACCTCAAACATGGAGATGGAATTACAGCTCCCGTGGTAGCTACAACACCTTCGCTAGGTGGATTATTCAAAGTGCCGCCGTTCGACGGGACTTCTTCCTGGTCGGCCTACAAAATCCAGTTCAAAGCTGTTATGAAGGCGAACGGCTGGAATAAAAGTCAGGCCATGACTGCTCTCACCTTAGGCTTACGCGACCAAGCCTTAACTGTTCTGGAAGCTCTCGGTAAGGAAGTGACTTACGAGCAGCTCCTTGAGGCATTGGAGTCGAGATATGGCGACGCTCACCTGGAACACGTCTTTCGTGCGCAGCTCAAAGATCGCGTGCAACGCAGCAACGAAAACCTGCAGCAGTGGGCCCTTGAGGTGGAGAAGCTGGTTCGGAAAGCATACCAGTCTGTACCTGTGCTCATTGTAGGGAACCTGGTGCAGACATTCATCGACGGCATCCGCGATTTTGAAGTCAGAGCTGCTGTGAGGCTCGGGCACCATGAGACGCTTAAGGATGCGTTGGCCCATGCACTGGAGGTGGAAGCCGCGCGGCAGGATCATCGTTCCCATCGTGTCAGGGAGGTTTCAGCAGCTATAGTTCACGACAGCAATAAAGGATACAGCCCTAGGTGCTACGGCTGTGGGAAAAGGGGCCATCTTCGATCCAGCTGCCCTAAACGAACTGTAGAAAAAGGTGATCGATCTCGAGAGGGTAGTGTGGATAACAGCACCGCCCAGCAGCAGCAGGGAAACTGGCGGGTGCTGACTGATTTTAGAAGAGGTACTCCTAAGATTGTCCATGTGAATAGACTGGCGCGTTATTATGGGGCCAACAATGCTCGGGACGAGCATGTCTTAGGAGGGGGCAGTGTTCGCGCCACTATTAAGGTCTTGTACATGGCAACACTAGTTACTCTAGCGCCCTCTAGTGTCGAGTAGCAGAACTAGGAGAGTCGAGATCCTTCCAGAAATTTCGGGACCGATATGTACCCGAACATTCTAGATGTCGCTACAGTATAAGGTTCTGGAAACTATCTGAGGCCCTATATAAGGCCGGTATAGACCACGACCGAGAGTATTGAATTGGCGATACAAGAGAATACTTCGAAGCGAAATAACGGCGAACTGTGTTTTATTATTAGTGTGATTTTAAGTTATAATTAGTGTTGTGTAATTAAATAGTCAATTTTGGTAATTCACTCGGCAGTTTTTAATTATCTTGAACCCCAAGCTCGTAACAATATAAATAAAATCACATTATTATTGAATAAACAGAATGTTAGCAGTCAGAATTGACTTGTAGTTTCTAAGTATAGTTCGTTTCGGATTGCCAAACCATCGAACTATCAGATTTAGGAAATAGTGTGTTTGTATTTGTGCACACAATCGTACACTATAAAAACATGTCCTACATAGATGGCTAGTCCAAAAATATACTCGCGTTGAATATCATATTACTATTAAAGTTGAAATCACCTCATACCTTTCATCATCTAAGGGAAATATTGTTACGAATAGCCTTTTCTTGTTATCATTTTTTCCGCTTGCACCATTTAATTGGAAAGTTTTATAATGCATATTTAATTTCTTAACAATTCTGTAAATGAACAACGTAGGAGCCGTAGCAAAATTAAAAGCAATCTTAATTAATAAAATATATACAAATATAATTGTTTGATTTGACATTTGAACCTATTTCATTTGACAATGTCGTTAATAGACATATCACGAAAAGCAAAAAGAAGAGTAACCGTCATTAAAATTTGACCCCTGTAGTACATATAATTTTTACTATGGAAGTTGCATCAGCCTAGTTTATCCTATAGATAACTTAATTTAATCAATAGCTAATGGGAAGATAACTAGGAACTTCAGAAACCGGGCATTAGTGCTTTATTCTTTAAAAGTTTAATTTTTTTACTTTGGATTATCCATACTTTAATTGGTCGATTTATAATCAAATTAATATAAAATATATATTTCTTAAATAACATTAATGTCTACACTTACAAATTAACTTCCCCCACTATGAAATCTGTAAATATTTCACCTCATTACTAATTTTCTAATATATAAAAATTAATGCTTGTTTGTTCGTATTTTACGCGCTGCCATACAGTTCATCAGATATGCTGTAGAACTTGTGTTAACTTAGTGCTTACTGCGAACTTTAGACATTTCTATTTAATTACAGTAGGTGGTGCTCGTATCGTACCGACAAATTTATTTGATAGTTATATATCATCATCATTATCATAACAATATAACTCTTTGAAATTTAAAATGATATTTCTACAATAATTAGTTCTGCGTCTGCAACGCGTCGGGTTGTTGTATGTAGTAGTTAGGTAATAATAATAATTTTAATAATCTTTATTAAAACTTATATAGGTTACAAACAAATTGTTGCACTGATTCCTAAACTAGGATTAATCCTGTATCTTGGGATATCAGTACCTTCCCATACAATTTTACAATATAAAATTTTAACGCAGACTTTTATAAAACATTTTTTTTTTTAAATAAAACTAAGTTATTCTTCTTCTACCGTGTGTGTGTGTGTGTGTGTGCGCACGTTACCTTTAGCTTATACGTTAACACTAAGAAGTCTTTCACAAGCGTAGTAGTCAACTTCTTTTAGCCAATCTAGCAAAACGATTTTTAATTTATAGTTGCTTAGCCTCTGTATAACTTTTGCTTTGTTGAATCTATTATATAGCCGAGGCGCAAGATATTCGTATTGCTAATATAATGTAATATATGATTGTATGGTGAATAACTTTAGGCAGCGGCGGCAGCTCGCTGGAGGCGTGGGGGGCGGGCGAGGCGCGCTACGGCGGCAGCTACGAGGCGCGCTACGCGCACGCGCACGCGCCCGCCTACCAGCCGCCGCCGCCCGGCGCGCCCTACCCCGACCGCTACACGCCCGCCGCCCGCGACTTCGCGCGCAAGTACTAGCGCCCGACCGCCGCCCGACCACCGCCGAGCGCAGTGAGTCCCCACTCGACACAACATCGACACAAGCGCTCCCCAGTCCCCCAGCCCCACACAATGTCCACACTATTTTGCAAATTCAGTTTTTTATCCACAGCTATACCAAGCAGTAGAATATAGTGTATAAAAACCACAGAGCAATACGGGCCACCTAAGCTTTATATAATGTCTTTTTTATATTTTTAATCTACTTATTATATCTTGCCCACAAACTGTCGGTAAGCTGAAGTGGCAATGAGGCTTATGTTCAACAATAGACTTGTGAAAGGCCGTAATAATGATGATGATGATATGATTCTATCACCAATAAATTTAAAAAAAATGCTACACTACAGACAGATTTATCATAATGTTGTTCTTATATTTATGAAAGTAATGTTTGTAATATACTTGTAATATAGTAATGTAAATAATACGGGAAGTAATTAAACAGTTTCTGTTATTTTACAAATTAGTATCAGCTGAAAGTTTATTAGTTATTGAAACCATCCACATTTTGTCTTCACAATCCTGAACCATTCCAACCATATTTTTTTTATATGCACATAAAGTCCACTGCTGAATAGTTTTTTTTTTATAGGATAAGGGTGACAAACGAACACACAGTCCACCTGATGGTAAGTGGTTGCTGCGGCCTATAGACATCTACAACTATCCTTTTTTGCGAATCTAAATGAAGATGCGTTTTCACCTTTGAGGACTAAGATGGAATGGCTCATTTCCAATAAAAAGGGCCATCCGGCCACCTACACTCACCAAGCGTAACACAGAGGAAAACCTCTACTTCACACTGGTATTCTGTGAGGTCGTGGTACTACCCGTTTGAGCTGGCCCATCCGTGCGACAGCAAAAACTGCCGCGTGGCTCTACCACTGTCAAACTTAAACTGTTACTTAAATTGTGCAAATATTGATTATGTTTTTACCAACTCGTTAGTTTAAATTAAAATACAATTAAGATTAATTTTGACTAATTACAAAATAGTTAAATTTTGTTCCTAAAACTTAAATAACTGTATTCTTCTTTTAAACTATGGCTTCCCTTGATAGATCAGTCGTGAGTGACAAGGAGTTCTCAATTTTTAGAGTAGATTTACAATCTACAACGATAGACGTCACATTTTTAAATACAATTTAATATTATTAGTATGATTAAAATCACACAAAATATTTACAAGGCGAGTATTACACTAAGGAATATTGGAAATTTACAGGACGCGGGATGTAATTAGGCAGGAATATCATAGAGAGTGAGAAAGATTAGGACACTAAGAACAGATGATTACAGATCCTTCGTCTAGCCCACATTCACAGAATGAGCTATCCCTAATCCTAAGTTGGACCAAGTCTATTGGAATACAAGCATGACCAAAGCGTAGGCGACAACAGTAGAGATAATTGCTTTACTAAAGTGACGATATTGAAAAAACCTGAGTTTTGATGGAATATTGATGACTTTGAAATAATAGTGATTACATTTTAATAGTTTAGACTGATACCAATTACTTTGCCATTAAGATAGAAGGTTAGAGCCTGCCTTTGGTAGAAGGTATATGCATAGAGAAACATTGCTTAGGGAGGGAGCCGGATTTTGTGGCTCCTTTAACTAAATTTAATAATATAATAACAATAATAGCTCTTTTATGGCAGCTGTCAGAGATTTATCCTCTATTTTATCTTAATTGTATTAACTGATTTATTTACAATTAATATCATGTTATCAAGTAAAATAATTTTGTTTCAGGTCATATCATAGCAGTAACCAAAATGCAATGAGCTAACACCTAATTAGTAGATTAAATATTCCATTTTATTTTAATGTATTTTGTTTTTGCAAGATTTCATAATTGGAAGAATCTTATATCTTTTAATGAATGTTCTTAATGTAAGATGTAAGTTTTTAAATACTTCCTAGTGTATAAATTTCAAATGTGCAACTAGTATAATCAAATAAATTTGTTTTTCTTAAATGTAACAGCAGCAGCAAGAGAAACGAAGCATACATAACTAGTTTGTACATTTTACTGTGGTAAGAGGTATGAAAGTGTGAGAAATACATTCTTATATTTTATTATGTATCAAATTTCTAACATAGTGTGTGTACAACTATTAAGGTGACATTTCTTGTAATATATTACACTGTGTATATCATATTAGTAAAGAATAAAAATAAGTAATTTGAGAAAAAATTGTTTAATTTTAAAATGATACACCAACAAATGTTTTATAATTTATTTTAATGTTTGAATTGCAACATTTTTGTCATTAAAAATGGACTAAGCCTTAAATTGCAGTTTTCATGATGTAGGATAAACAGTACAAATGTTGGCACTTCCCCAATGATTGGCACTTTGCTATTTTAATCTGAATATTAAGAATTTTTCTTTTTTTATAACACAGCAACACAGATATTGCTAAGATATATAATTTCTTATATTAACAACACATTTACATTTATATCGTCCACTATTTTTCTATAAGGGCTGTTTTAAAAATGAGTTTGGACAAATCCGTTAAAATTTAAAAAAAAGTTAAGGTTTTGTGGCTAGATTTTGAGACAAAAGTTATTTTTAGGTAAGTTTATTACTCAAGTTTCTATCATTTTTATCAATTCACGTCATTAAAACATATTAAACGTTATTTTATCGTTGTGAAAAGGAAGCATCGGCTTTTTTAAATTGTGACTATACATACTTTAATTTGTTTGACAACAGAATGATTGGCTTATATGTCGATCACTATACTTTCTTTTGTCCAAAATATATTCTTGACCCTGCCAATTACTATTGACTTTTTGCCATTGCCAAATACCTAGCAAAAAGCAGGTAATTATTTTGTGGTAACGAGTGAAGTTTCGGGAGCTGCGGAACTAGAAAAACAATGAATAAATTGAGCACAAATGGAAAAAACAGAATTTAATTAGTCAGCCAAATATAGATACAAACTGACAAACAAAACAACTAACAAAGCCAAAACTCTGACATTACAATACTCTCTAAATGTTTAATCTAACCAATCAATACTACAAATTCAGAAAAAGTTGAAAGAATTAGTGAAGAAAATTTTAAAGTGACTAGTTAACCATCCAAATACCATACAGGTGAACAGAGACTGCAGCTTTTATCTACAAAATATTCAGAGAGTATTTACTAAAACCGAAGAATTTATAAAGAAAATAGATTACCAACATATAATGGAACAGAAAAACCCGAAACAAAGGTCTATTTCTACAAAATATCGAGAAAACACAAAAAGTTTTACGAAAAAAAAGGCACATCAAAAAATGTATCTCAAGAAAGAAAGAAGCATGGTAGACCAACGAAACCGCTTTCAAATGAAGATCTAAGGAAAAATATTTGAAGATGATTTGTTCAAAATAAGTCATAACAGTAAGATGGAGCTTAGAAAGATCTGGGTATAACTTTTTAAGACTTCCAATAGTGCCTATAATTATACTTTATTTACAGTGCCATTTACTATGCCCAAGTGCCAATGATTGTAACATTCTCTAGAAAAAAGTTAAATTAGATTTTTAAATTAATGAAACATTTCTTTTTAAACTTAATGCGTCATTTTATTTATGGCTATGTAAACTAATATCCAACAAAACAATAAAAAAATATAACAAATTTGTTTATTTAAGAGAATTAACCACTTACAAGTGGAAGTCAGCTTAAACTGCCAATCATTAAACTGTTTGCCCTACTATACATTTAAAAGAGTTTTAAGCCTTACGCGTCAACCAAGAAAAAACTTGCACATACGAACTACTATTGCTATAATATTCAGATTAAATAAGTTCGCCATCATTCACCAGACACTCGAGCTACTGAGGCGATACCAGTCGCATTGACTGGTGGAAGTATAATATGGCCACGATATATATATAATGGGTAGGTACAGTTTTTTTAGACTATATTGATGTTGATTGATATCTTCTAGTAGTGCAGGGATAGACCCAATACCAAATCCTAACCAATAACTTAAATTTATAACACTTTTTAAAGGATGACTTTTGAAAAAAAAAAGTAGTAACACAAAGATACTTTTCAAACAAATCCAGTTTCAAAAAAATAATAATAATGAAACTGATAATTTAATAAGTGTCAAAAATTTTACTTCTTTTTACCATACCAGTAATTGCCATGCTTGGCCAAGTAAATTAGAGTGGAAACACTCGTAACAAACAATCTTACAATTATTAAGATCCATTTTAATGCAGTTTTTTCTTTTTTCCCTGGCTTGGCTCTACTGTGCTACAATAAGTTGTAAAAAAGTTTTCTAGAAGCAAGATATCTCTACAACCACAGCGAAATCGTTACAATTTTTTTTAATTAAGTTCAAAACTTATACAATATAAAACAACTGTATGAAATTATATTTCATATCTGACAATTACACTATATAGTAATATTCAACAGATTGTTCATATATAAACAATCTATATCAAAAAGTCCAACTTAAAGCTTTATTAGAACGTAGTTCCTTATCGCACGGTACGAAATTGACGGATGGAGTCTAGGCGAGAAAAGTCCGATTTTACCGTCACAACCCCCTTTCTATAGTGTGAGCGAGATGGAATAATATCTATCTCCCTCGCATGTTTTCTTATCTTGACATGAAAGAAATATTATTTTAAACGATCCTTCATTTTAATAGAAGCTGGTAATTAATTTATTTGTATTTGTTAATCAATAATAATATACTACGAAAGGAACTTCGTTCCAACCGAGTGTTCCACGAAGTTTTTTTTTATAAATTAGATACGATGCATGAAATGTTATTTCGTTCCTTATTTAAGTAAAACTATCAAAAAGCATAATGGATACAAAAAGTAAAAAATTGAAATAATAATAATAAAAATTACTATTTTGATCCAGCACTCGTATCAAGGTTTAGTTACATATTTGTAAAATGATAGATATATTGAAATGCTTACAGAATAAAATCATCAACTACAAGAGTTAATTATGTCTTTTGCCGACAAATATAAATGTAAAACCAAATTTAATAAAAACCCACGCCCATTCTCAAATTCATTTACTTCAGTATACTAAAGTATTGTAATTGTAATTCTGTCCTTGCAGTGTGTTATTATTTTCAATGAAAAGCGCTGATTGTGTTGGTACAATATTTTCGTTTGGAGAATGTAATGCACTAGAATCAACATCTTTACCATATGAAAGTTCAGATACATCGTCCTCAAGACCCTTAAGGGCTTTGATAGCATCTTGCTGACCCTGGACAGCAGCCAAACGCAGTAATCGCTTTGCAGTAGCTGTGTCACGGGCTAGTCCACCCCGTCCTTGACCATAATAAATCCCTAGATTATACAGTGCACCAGGATGCTGTTGAGCAGCAGCCAAACGATACAAATCCATTGCCTAAAAACAAAGTTATAACAAAAAGATAAGTACTCTCATACTCTTTTTATACAGACTTCTTCAAAAAGGAGATGGTACTCAATTCGGCTATTTTTTTTTTAAGTGTGTTACCTCATAACTTTTTTCTGGGTAAACCGATTTCGATGATTCTTTTTTTATTTGAAAGCGGGTGGTTCCATATAAATTTGATCAAGGTCTGACCAATCGTTTTTGAGTTATTCTTAATAATTTATATTGAAGTCAATTGTACAAAATTTTTAATTTTAAATTATTAATAGTCTCTATTTAAATACACTACGATGGCGACACTGTAAGTTTTTAGAACTGGCCACTTGTAAACAATATAATAAAAAAATAACTTCAAATTTTGAAAATAGAAATCTTTGCCAATATTATTGTGTATATATTTTATTAATTTGTCATTTATTTACGATTTGGCGGAAAATTGAAAATTGTCTGTGTCACGTCAGCATGAACTTATCGCGAGAAAATTTTCGTACAATGATTTTTTATGACTCGATGTCATTTAAGTCAACAAAGTTATAATAGACTTCGATTGGTCTCACGATGAAACCCCATCTTGTGCCACTGTTTACAACTGGTTTAATGGGTTTAAACGTGGTCGCACTAATCTCACTGATGATCTGCGTGAGGGACGGCCTTCTACGGCGACGAACGACTGAAGATAACATCAGTGCTGTGCAGCGTATGATAGAGACTGACAAAAGAGTGACTTATCAGCAGATTCGGACAAGCTTAGGCATCGGTATGAGTCAAGTGCACAAAATCCTCCATGAACATTTAGCGGTCAGAAAGCTTTGTGCCCGGTGGATTCCTCATAATTTGACAGAGGCCCATTAAAACTCCGTCGTGTTGATTAGTATCGTGAAATGGTTCAAACATTTAACGGAGGTGACATAAATACTGTGTTCGACATACTTACGGGTGACAAATGCTGGATTTATTGTTATGATCCTGAAACTAAGAGACAGTCTGCTGTCTGGGTGTTTCCTTCCGAGGAGTTGCCAACTAAAGTGAAGAGAGGTCGAAGCGTGAGAAAAAAGATGGTGGCCTCGTTCTTCGGAAGGACAGGTCAATACGCAACAATTGTTTTAGAGGATCGAAAAACCGTTACTGCAGAATTGTACACTAACAATTGTTTGCCACTTGTCTTTGGAAAAGTACGGGAGAAACGACCTCACAGTAGGACCCTCCTTCACCACGGCAACGCGTCGTCGTACACCGCCAAACAAACAATCGAGTACTTGGCGACGTCAGACGTGGAATTACCAGGTCACCCGCCCTATAGCCCCGACCACCTTGACGATTCGACGCACCTTGCGATTTTTATTTATTTCTGAAAATAAAAGTAAAACGTTTTATGGACGCCGAGGAAGCAGGGCTGCGTTTCAAAATGCCGTCAAAGAGACCCCTAAGGACGAGTGGGCAAAGTTCTTTTCGCATTGGTTCCATCGGATGCAGCGATGTATTGATGTAAATGGACACTATTTTGTAAAAATAAAATAAAACTAATATCTTGCTAGTTTGTTCAGTTTTTGATTTTCTAAGAACTTTCAGTGTCACCCTCGTATCTGGCATGTATAACATAAAAAATTTACTTTAAAATCACCATGATGGCTGGAAGAGTTAGTGATAGCAAAACCAATACCATCGCATTGGTGACCATTCAATCTGGGTATTGGATGTTTTGCATTTTCACATAGTTAAACATAAGATCCTCTTAGTAAATGAACCAAATTGCATGCAGGTAATTTTGGTATTAGGTTATTTGGTTAATAACTAGAGATGGGCTGAATATGGATTTTACCGAATACGAATATTCAGCCGAGAGTTAGGTAAAATTTTTACCGAACCGAATATTCGCCGAACATTATTCGGCAGGATTACCTCTGTACCTAACCAATTCATGTCAAAACTTGTTTACGTATTGAGCGCGGGGTTAGCGCCGAACCTTGCCCCTCGCTCCCCGCCACACCTGACATGCTATTGCATCATCTAGTACTGAGCAAATTGCCGGCACGTACTTACGTTTTGACTGTTTTTGTCAGAAAACAAGTGTTTCGTTGTGTTATTCTTAGAGAAAATTGATAATTATAACATAAAAATGAATGACAGGAGGAGATCTACTATTTGGACTTATTTTAAAGAAACTGACGACTAAAGTAAAGAGAAATGTACGATTTGCGAAAAAATACTTTCGCGGGGTGGCAACGGCAGGAAAGCTTCATGCTCATCTTTGAGCAATCATTTAAAATTGAAACATACTGCGGAATTTTCTGGTCTAGAAAAACTTGTGCATCAGGTAGGCTCTAATATACAAAATATTAAAACGACACAGCATGAATCTGAAGTTGCACAGGTCACCCAGCCCTCTACCAGTGGTGCTCAATCTACAAATACTAAAACCTGTCCAACCGCCAAACTACACTAGAAGATTCATTTATTTCCAAATGGCGAATCGACGACTCCAGATCACTTTCAATTACGAATTCAATTGCTGCAATGATAGCAATAGATAACCAGCCAATTTCTATAGTCGAAGATAAAGACTTTACTCCGCTGATGCAGTTGGTAAAGCTGAAAATATATAGGTGAAACAGTGATTCCACAAGTGTATGAAAAATTAAAAAGCACTAGTCAACGTGAGCTATCTATGGCCAAATGTTTATCGGTTACATGTGACGTGGACAAACATGATTGACTTGTCCCCCGTCTTGATTTTTCCCATCCACTAGATTTTTTTTTATGACTGCTCTACAACACGGTGCTTCATATGAAGTCGTTTACAGGCCAACACAACGCCGATAACATACGCGCAGGATTGAGAATATAGCCGAAGTCTGCCGAATAATGGCAAAAATTCAACAGTGGTTGAGCCACGCGGCAGCTTTTGCTGTCGCACGGATGGGCCGGCTCGAACCGGGGTGGTACCACGACCTCACAGAAAACCAGCGTGAAGTAGAGGTTTACCTCTGCGTTTCGCTTGGTGAGTGCAGGTGGCCGGAGGCCCTTTTTACTGGAGATGAGGCATTCCATCTTAGTACTCACGGGTGACAACGCATCTACATTTTGATTTGTAACAGAGGATAGATGTAGATGTCTATGGGCCGCAGCAACCACTTACCATCAGGTGGACTGTGTGCTCGTTTGTCACCCTTATTCTATAAAAAAAAAACATTATAATGACTGACAGCGGAAGTAATATCGTGATAACCGTTAGAGACAGCTCCTTTACCGGTCAGAAGTATTTTCTACATATTTTACACTTTAACCACTCATCTCAAGCACAAGAAATGTTCAACAAAATTCAAGAGTTAAATTTGCTTAAACACAAGCTTGTGCAAGATGTAGTGACAAGATAGAATACCAAATATTACATGTGCAAACGTCTTGAAGGATAAAAGCGAGCTATCAGCCTTTACATTTCGGACAACAGTAGCTCCATTAGTATTCAGAACCTATCAGAAAGACAGTGCATGTTACTGCAAGTGTGTAACACTATTACAGCCTTTTGAAGAGATAACAAGAAAAGTTAGCTCCACATACTCTTGTGTTTCAGAGGTAAACCCACAAACACATCTTGCTGAAGTTTTTGATCAACGACGAAGTTCAGAGAATGTGCAGCAACTTGGGTACAGTACGAATGGCACTAAAAGAAGGGTTAGAAAGACGAGCCGACAAGTTCAAAGATGAAAAGTACTACACTATTGCCACACAGCTCGACCCAAGGTATACGATGGATTTCTTCGCTCCCAAAAATGCTCCAGCTGTATGACGGGAGTTGCTCCGAGAACACTTAAAAAAATGTATAGATATAGATATTATGAGTAGTAGTGACACCAGTGACATAGTAGGTTGAGCAGCCAGCTCCGCCAATATCAAGAGACTTGCAATCACAGCAAGCAGCTCATTATACTCTCTGGACGTCCTATGAAGAGATAGCATCAGCAAAGATGTCTGTGGATGAAGATCTAAAGAGCCCAATAGTCATGAGTTAGACAGATACATTGCAGATAGCTTAGTGTCACGAGATATGTGCCCTTACAGGCGGTGGTTTAAAAATAAATCATTCATTCTCATTCAGCTCCAGGTGGCTCGGTTTATAATTAACATTTATTTTCTCAAGTGGGCAATGCCTATGAGCAAAAGCGTAATAAGCTGTTACCAAATAAAGCTGAACAGTTTTTAGTCTTTGCACCATAATTTGCCTCATGTTAATTTTAAATACTGAATACCTGACAGTTGGTAAACTACTCATTTACTTATGTTTTGGGTTCGATAAACTCCATTCAAGTGATTTGTTTAGCTATTAATAAGCTTATTATGACTGGATTACATAACATTAGTTACCGTAAAATGGGGTGAATAGACACAAATCTAGTTATTTGATAAAGTTGTCTCTAGCTTTGTCTACAGCTCGGGAACGTCTGTTTATTATTTGCCAACATTTTCCCTTTATTTTTGGTAACCTTAAAATTAGTGTCAATTTTGAGGACAGTAAAGACAAGGGCGGTTATTATAAACGTGTGAGTACAAGTGGTTTTATGCTGTGTAAAACTTTTAGTTAAACATCAAGTTCTTCAGTGTTTACTTGTTGTAAATTTTGTTTTTAGGTTGAGTTTCTAATCTATTATTAATACAAATATGAATATCTATATTGAACGATTTTATTATTTTAAATAGTAAAATCAGGATACTGGTATTTTTTTTCGAATTCGAGGTGAATAAATACTACTGACGGGTGAATAAAAACGCCTTTGGAGTTAATAGAAACGAAGAAAGGGGTGAATAGATACGGATGAGGGGTTATTAAAAACGTAAAAACGGTTAATAGAAACATGATTTTTAGGGTTGTCAAAAACCGTTTGCACCATTTACTTACTACATAAATTAATTTAAGTAGTTATATGAAATTAAAATAAAATAAAAAATGTTTAGACCATATTAAAGGTATTTAAAAGTCCTCTATTATAAATGTTAAATTTTGATATTTGTTATACATTAAAATTCCAAATACTTGAGGTTTTACCATTACACATTGACGCGAGTTATCAGCTTCAAGTCCCCATATTATGTAAATTTACATTTATGTTTAGTACTTACATAATTTTATAAATAAGTAATATTTATTTTTAATCTCGTCTTGTTACCTACAACTTAAAATAACCAAAGGTTATTAATCAAAGCACGTAGTATTATAATTAGTGTTATATAGTTTATCTAACTTTGAAACATTTTTTTATTTTTTATTTTCATTACTTAAAAAAATATGTTCAAAACTATGTAAGCAGTGGCTTATTTATCTAATGGTTTTATGTCGGAAATGCTTACGCTACAAAGCAGTTAAATTACATTACTCTGGTATTTTTAATTTATATAATATGGAATTGTAATAATATCAGATTTATTCATCATCATCATCATCATTACAGCCCTTCACAAGTCCACTGCTGAACATAGGCCTCCCCCAAAGAATGCCACAAAACACGGTCCTGAGCCACCTGCATCCATCGACTTCCTGCATGTCTTACCAGGTCGTCACTCCATCTCGTGGGGGGACGCCCTACACTTCGCCTACCGGTACGAGGCTGCCACTCGAGAACCTTTCTTCCCCATCGGTTGTCGGTTCTTCGAGCTATATGGCCGACCAACTGCCACTTCAGCTTACTAATCCGTTGGGCTATGTCGGTCACTCTAGTTCTACTGCGGATATCCTCATTCCTAAATTTATCACGCAGAGAAACTCCGAGCATAGCCCTCTCCATAGCTCGCTGAGCGACCTTGAGCTTCCTCATACGGCCAGCAGTGAAGGACCACGTCTCAGTTCCGTAAGTCATCACTGGCAACATACCCCCCTATGAATGACAGATTTATTAACTAATTATTTTTTATAATGACAATTTTGATGTAGTTATGTTTTCTTTCATTTAACTCACAAGCTCACAACCTACATACTACAATAAAAGTAAATTTGACAACCCTGGCATTTTTTCTCTATTCACCCTATGTCGTATCTATTAACCCCGGATTCCCGGTATATAGAAACAGACTACTCTTTTCTAAAATACAACGAATTAGCATGTTTTTACTCGTTTGAAGCATTAGTATTCGATAAACTACAACAAGACTCACAACATTAAAGTGTTTTATTATCAGCTTATATACAATATATGTAAGAAAAACAGTGTAGAAGTTGAAAGTTGTGTCTATTCACCCCATTTTATGGTAACATAACATTTCTTAAATTATTTAGCTCTTAATGATTGTTCCTATAGAGTTCCTAAATATTCCTTAAGAATATTTAATTTGCATGTAGAATAAGGAAAATATGTCATATTTTTTTTGTTTTAAGTACAAAAAGGAAAATTACTATTCCAATTACCTTTGGAACTTTATGACTTTGATTGATATTATGTTATTGATCAAATGACAATAAGTAACTAAAATTTAAATTACTTTTAAAATTATTTCTGTGTTAATTTTCAAATAATAATGTAGATGCTATTCTTTCAAACTATAAATAATGTTGATTAAATTTAAAACTTAGGAATGTGAATTAGGTATTCCTAGACGATAAAAACCTGATTACAATTATTTCTTTGTTTGAATCCAAAAACATTTTATCTATTTTATCAAGCTTTCTATTTGCTATAATTGGAAATAAATCTACAGTTCCTCATAAACATAACACTACACAAGTAGATTTAACCCATAAATAAAGTACACTTTCAACAATAAAATTATGAAAGAAATGGCATTACTCAATTCCCACATTTCAATACTGTGGACACTTTGAGTACTACTTCAATGTATGTTCGGGGATTTAGCTGAATATTCGAATGAATATTAATATTCGGTAAAGCCCCCCTATACCGAATATGAAACGAATATTCGGCCCATCTCTAGTAATAGCCTCTCACACCTATTGCAGAATATGAATATCAATTTAAAATCAGCTCTACTCTAAAACAGGTTGGGTTCAGAAGGGAGATACTTGTCATTTTTTAAGATAACTTACTATTTTTTCATCAATGGAAACTCCTAAGCCCATTTCATAGCACAAGCCCAAATTAAAAAGAGCTGGTGCATGATTACGATTCGCAGCAGATCTATAAAAGTAAAAATACTATTAATATTTTAATAAACTGGGAACAATTTCCTGGAAATCAAAATCTTGCCACATTCAAAGTGGGTATTACCTTAGTAAATTCAAACCATCTTGATGTTGACCATTTTCAATGGCTGCCAACCCAAGCCTATTCTCTATAGAATTTAAAACATCTCCAAGTTCATCATCTGTGGAGCTGCTGCTATTGCAGCTACTTGCTGGCTTCTCATTCACTTCTTTGTGTTCATTTGATATTAAGTGAACTTGTAAGGGAATGTTTGCTATTGCTTTTTCAATTGCCTTAGATGAATTCAAAGAAACTGCACTCTTACTGAAATAATCTATGTAAGGGTGCAAAGTGGAGAGTAAACAATTTGTTGGTTGACATCGCTTCAAACTAGTATTGTGCTTGTACTTTAGTTTCAAATGTATGAGCTGGCTAGTATACCATCCAATAACTAAAGCACTACTCTGAAAAAATAAAGAATAAGTTATGACAGCTGTATATTTGGTAGATATTTAATTCACAAACCAAAATCCAAAAAAAGGGTAAGGTTGTCAAAAAAGGAACATCAGTAACATATTTCTCAAAAGCTGTATCAGATTGAGTCAAATTATTGTTAACATTCAACTGAAAATCTGAGTTCTAGTTTGACCTGGTCTGTTTCACTATTAATTATACTCCATATCATTTAAATTTTATTAGAGGCAGTTATAATTTTATTGTTAATATGTAAAGTAATAAGTATTCCTTATAATCTAGATTGAATTAAAATTATTCTATTAATTAGATATAATTTCCCTGGACATATGGCCCCTAGAAACCCTTTAAACAAACTGAACAAATCAAATCTGAGGAAACCCGGATGGATTTACCCGTATTGGCCACACTATGTTTTATATCTGTGTATTCGCGGCTCTTCATGTTGGCCAACATAGTGGCGAATGTGTTGACAGAGATATTGCCCAAGAATTTGTGATCGCGTCCACATGTTGGAAGGTCCTTCAGTTTGCTTTGGTTCAGGCCAATGTGTAGACGAATTTATTAAAATGATTATTGATGTGCTAACGGCTGCTGCGGTTTATTTATTAACAGCATACCACTATAATGTGAATGTGTATAAGAAAAGGGTGATCGAAAAGAAATGGAAAAAAGGAAATTTTATTTCTTGACGACTCCGTGGCGTAGTGGCTTAGCAATGAGTTGCTGTGTTGGGGGCTGTGGGTTCGAATCCCGCACGGAACAAGTATTTGTATGGCCTGCAAATAATTGCTCCGGGTTTGGATTTTTGTCCTTATGCAATTTATGTTTGTAAACTGCCTCCACGATAAATCCTAGTGTGGGGGTAACGTTTATTTAAAAAAAGACTTGAAAAACTTATGTTTCACAAACAATTTCCGGTTTGGTAGGGCTCTATAAAGAGAAAATTTTTTTCTTTGGTCATTGTTACTGCCATTATGTAGACAATAGTTACGATACGTACATATAAAATTTAAATAAGGTGCGTGCGATCACTCTGGGAGCTAGTAGCAAACTGAACATGCGCCCAACGTGTGGACGTGATGGCCAATACTCTGCCACAACCCTTTGATCTTTAGCAAAAAACAGACACCACACAGATCTCGCACCAACTTGTGGGCCATTGTTCCAATACATATCAACATAGCTTAAACACCCGCTCTACACAATGGCCATCATTGTTGGCCAGCACATTCGCCAGTATGTTGGCCAACGTGTAGAGCCGCCGTATTTTGTCAATCTGTGTGCCCTTCCTAAAATCACAAATAACTCAAACACACTTTAATTATATAGACATGATACCTACACTAATATCTATTGCAAATCAATGCTGTATTTTTGTACAGGATTGACTGATATAATAGAATATAGCTTTTTCACGTGATATATCAAAATAAAATATTGCTAAAAATAGTAACTACCAACCCATGTTATGGCACCTATCCAAGAGCAATTTAAATCATCGAAGTTCCATTTCTTGCTTTTAGTACCGTTATCATTGTAAAATGATTTCCAACATTTTCTTGAATTAAGCCAGCAGCATGGTGTTCCTGAACGTTTATTTTGTTCTTCTGAAAGGCCACTTCCAGTTCCAGCTGAATTTACTACGCCTGTAGAGCTTCTTTTATCAAAATGATTTACACTCTTCTCTAAAACGTCTCTAATACGACGAGTCACATATTTCCACATGGTTTTGATTCTAAAGAACACTTATCAAACTCCTTTTTATGACCATTGTAGAAACACCATCTCGTACAAAATAATCCGTGTTACTACACTTTCCGATTAAACATAATTTTTCACGATACACTGTACTTGTGTAACATCTGGATAATTCACGTTTTACAACAATATACAGTTACAGTTAAATGTTTAGATTTTTCCTCACACGCAAATAAAAGCAAAATATATAAATACCTATGGTACCTAGGTACCTATCATAGAGAAAAGCAAAGAGTATAGTAACTGTCCTATACAGGAAGAGAAAAGTAATACATCACAGACTACTAAAGCACTATACACATACAACTTTATAATTTGTGACTACACTCTTATCTATGCTAGGCACATAGATAAATAAATATGTATTATGTAGCACTTGGCATATTTGACTAAAGTTAAGGTGGCTACTGACCTGCCTGCCGCAGGGGCAATCTAGGGTGTAGGAGTGGGGATGACCCTTAATTGCCTCCTTAATTGTGATGTGTGCAGGCAAGCAGGGGCAATTTTTTAAGTCGGCCCTGCGGCAGGGCGGCAGGAGCAAAGTGTTGCAAAAGTTCCCGATTTATCGGGAGATATACTGATTTTAATTAGTATCTCCCGATATCCCGATTTAGCGAACGTATCTCCCGATTTTTTTACATTTTCAACTAATGTAAAATAATAATCATAAATAAAATTGAAAAGTAATAATCAAACTACTAAAATGAACTTTTAACACAAAATCTATGTACGGGGACTTCCCGAAATTGCTTGCACCACGTCCTATGGGACCTATACCTATAACCTTATTAGGTTTTTAACTTCGCGGTATGGGTAAAGCATATTGCACTGATACATCTTAAAATAGAGTTCATTATTGTCTGGTAAGTGTACGGGGGAGATCTCTAAAGATTACTTTGTTCAAGTTGTTTTACGAATTAGGTAGCTTAGGCCATGTATATATAGTGTTGTTCGTTCATATAATTACATTCACTAATTACTAGCCTTCTCCTGTTTTGTTGAGAACTGTTGTGCTTTATGTCCAAATTTGTTAGGTAGCATTAGTTATCAAAAAATTAATTTAGAATGGCGTTTGCTTCTAAATACGAAAGAAATTAAATCACTTTGAAGAAACAGAAAAATTTCGGAGAAACGTGAGTAGCAAAAATATATAATCATAAAATTTTAGTTTAAATTATAAAGACATTATTTTGATCGCAAAAAAATGAAACGAAAAAGAACGACATCTAAAAGAACGTTTTATGATACATTTCTAAACCCATGGATGTAAATAAAAATCTCCCGTTTTCTCCAGATTTTTAGCTGGCAAATCTACCGATTTTTTATTTTTCACTTTTGCAACACTGCAGGAGCGCAAGACCTTCCTTGCTCCCTAGATCGGCCCTGCCGCTGTTGCATGTGTAGCGCAATTGGGCCAATTTCATTCAGTTCGTTGCAACTTTCCCGAGGAGCACACGTATGAGTACAAGTCAGAATCGCAGAAAGAACGTTGTTTGAACGTTGTAACTTACAAGTAACATTACTGGGATTTGTTACCTAACTTATCATACGGGCTAGTATGGGAAAGTAAATATTCCAATAATATTAAAATTGCTGGAATATAAATAAAATGTCATTAAATAAATATTTAAACAAAAATACAAATTTTAGTAAATAAATTTTATTAAAACCATCATTAGAAAACTATCCTGGCTATTTGTAACACTAGTTAAATTATAGTTACTAAGCACTAGATAGTTAAGTTATATCACAGAACAAATTGGTATATAATCAATTTGTTCTGTGATATAACTTAACTTTGTTTTACTTAATTACTTAACTTAAATTATGACGAGTAAAGTTAGTCATATTTAATTGTCTTTGATAGCCTAAAAATAGCGTGGCAGAGCTATGCTGCAGCTTCTAAGCACTATATTATGGTTGTAATTATTAACTAAATGGTTGTTTTATTGATAAATAGGCCACAGTGTCCACTTACCATCAGGTGGACTGTGCTCATTTGTCACCCTTATTCTATATAAAAAAGAGCCAAGGCTATATATACTGATTCATTGATATTTCGATAAAACTGGCGCCATTTTCAACGCGTGCGTCCAGCGAGACGTACACTCTCATACCACAGAGTACTTTTATATATACTGCTCTCATACTGAACGGCAGGCGTGTGTGTAGAGACAGCTCCGATATTGCTCCGATCGCGGTGCTTCCTAGATTGCCCCTGCGGCAGGCAGGTCAGTAGCCACCTTTATAACCCATACAAAGAACCACAGAATAAATATGCTGTACATACAACTTTACAATTTGTGAATAAATAATAGTTAAAAGAACTAGAACTCTTAGATAAATAGATAATAGCAAGCTTTTAAAAAAAGTGCCAAAATTAATTAGAATAAGATGGAGAAATAAACAAGGACCGACCAATCCGCTTGGTTTTGTACTACGTAAATAGTTGAGGTTTTGTATACTGGCATTCTACTAACTACTCTAGTTATAAATTTTTCTTAATATTTGAATTCAGCTGACTTCACTCCGTCTACAACAGCTATACTCATATCGTAGTTTTTCAGACCCCAGCGCTATTGTGGTAGGTTTTGGAACCTCTATTTTCAGTATATAGCATAGATAAATAAATATGTAGCAAGCTAGTATATAGTGTGACACTTTTTCAACTTTCGCACCTTATGAGATGGTTCTCCTTCTACTCTACACTCCATAAATTAGAGTATAACCATATAATATTTAAGAATCTGACACTAAACTTTACTACGACTTTTTTTTATTAAAAAAAGGAACTCTGACTATGTACACTCTGCCCTCTATTACAAAAATATAAGTATATAAATAAAAATAACAAAATATGTTATATATGATTATTTCCGTATTATTTGGATCAGGAGGAATAGAATGACGTAAAACAAACTCGAAGAAAGGCGGTGAAACTGCGCGGGGAATTCCTTAAACGGCGGCGAGTTGACGGAATAGTATAATACCACAAACTAATAAGAAGTGCTAGTACGCTGCGTATTTCTAAAGTGCGAGTGGGATAGGGAGTTTAAAAAATTATTGGATTGGATACGTTCATAAAAAATACAAAGAAAAGTTAAGAGCTCGTTCAATTTTTATGTTATTGATTTTTCTTAACTTAATCAATTATCATTTTTATTTTGTTATAAAGATTATAAGATTTGAAAAGATCGAATTCGTACGATTTCGGATACATGATCGTACATCGTACTAGGGCCAAAAATATCGTATGACACCCACACACAACACAAACACACACGCCTGTCACCCAGAGGGGTTGGCAGAGACTACGGACTTCCATTTGGCGCGATCCTGATACACCGCTCTCGCCTCCTTTACATCCATATATCTACGCATACACCCTCGTCGGTTAAGGGTACTCCTAATCTGGCCCATTTTTAATGTATCGCCGATTTGGTCGATAAAACTTCGTCTAGGGCGTCCCTTCTCGACCCTACCGTTCACTTCTGCAACATAAATTTGCTTTGTCACTCTTTCCTCGTACATTCTTTCTACATGACCAAACCACCGAAGCATTCCTTTCTTAATCCTTGTCACAACGTCATCTTGCAAACCACACTTTGCTCTTATCACACTAATTCTCACCCTGTCATTCAGATTCAGCCCTAGCATACTCCTTAAGGACCGCATTTCTACAGCATTTATTCTACTCTCGTGCTTCTTCTGCCAGATCCAACTTTCACTACCATACATTAAAGTAGGGACTAACACAGCATTATGAATTGCCATACGTGCCTTATTTGACACATTCTGACTCCTCATAATAGCATGTAGAGCCCCATTAACTCTATTACCTGCGTTCACTCGTCGTTCTATATCCTTATATAAAGACATAAAGACATTTATTCCAACACTTACATCTTCTACACACATGACAAATTACAATTAAAAATAAAACAAGTGACTTATAAACAAACAAACAAACAAAAATTAGATAAAGAAAAGTGCGTCCATTCAAAAAAAATGGTGTGCTATGATGAAGTGGTAGAAGGGACCGTCTCAGCATAAGCCGCGAGATTGCAGCGCTGATTTTCAGCCGGTCCCGAACAAGTTCGGATGGTCAACTTTATGCGAGCGAGTTAATAATAATATAAGGTTTAAGGTTTAAAGACATTTATTCTCATAAAGACATTATATACGCCACTTACATGAGAACATAAATAAAAGTAAATCTAAATAACAAAATTGGTTGTCGTACCTATGTTGTTGAGAAATCAACATCAAAAACAGCTATCGACGGGAAAATATATAAAAATAAGGAAAAGTTATAAAATGACAACAGTCACTCACAAATTCTGGGATTCACTATCATATTAGCACCATAGCATAGCACAAACATGACCAGGAACAAACCCGTCCAAAGTACTCAGATAGATATATTTGTGTTTATATGATTTGCTAGTCGCTTTTTGAATACATTGAACGAGTCTACAATTTTTATTTCCGAGGGTATCTTATTAAAAAGGCGCGCACCTTCGCATGTAATTGTGGTCTGGCCGTACTTTGTTCGAGTCTTAGGCAAAACGAATGAAGCTCGCGCGTCGAGTGCAGATGCGCCCAACTTTTTTCCGCTTGGTGAATTGCAGATCCGTGCGTATCTTCTTGTTCATGGATTTACGAATAAAGATACAGGTGTTATAAATGTATAATTGTTTGATATTCATCAGTTTCGTTTCTCGGAAAATTTTTGAAGTTGATGTTCGGAAATTGTAGTTGAATAGCATTTTTATTATTCTATTTTGTAGGACTTGTAATTTGTTTAATCTAGTACTGGCAGCGCTTGCCCAGACCTCTATGAGATATAACAGGTGTGGTTTTACTAGGGCATTATATATAGTGAAACGTAGTTTCTGTGGTATGTACCGAAAATTAATCCGGAGAGAGGCGTGAAGTGACATTAATTTGGTTATTAAATATTTAAT